TAAATCACTATGATTCCATTACTATTCTAGTAATTATTCACACTTTTGTAAACAATTTTTATTTTAATCAAATTTTTGTAATTATTTTTATTTTATTTTACACGAAAAGTAAGCTAAAAATTACATAAATTATGGTGGATCCGAATTTGGGATGACTTACTCATATGTCCGTATTTAATACTCCGTATATAGTATTTAATACTTCGTATATATTTATTTTAATTGATATTATTATGCCCTCAATAAGTATTTTTTCTGGATCCGCCACTGTACTTCAATCGTCTTACTAACCTAACTGTGAATTTAGCAGCGAAGTAACGCCTCCTAAATGATGGGTCATAACGTTGATATGGGTTACCACATTATAATACTACGTATTGTATAACTTTTTTTAGCAAATTTTTCTAACCTATTATAATCTGTTTTGTACTATGATACTACAAAAGGAAACGGTTTAGCAGAAACACAAAAGGAAACGGTGCTCAATATAACTTTTTATCTACAAAATATTTTATCACTTGACATATAGATGGACTCTAATGAGAAGAAATTCCAAACAATTGCAGCTAAAACAATACTAATTAGCTGTTGCAGAAAACTCAGAATCAGTAGTTTTGAAAAGGTTTATTAGGAACTCAATAGAAAATGTTGTAAAAACATGATTTTTAATCTATAAAACAGATCGATATTTTAGTCTAGGAATTGGGATATCTATAAAACAGATAATCCGGCATATCAAATTATCATTTGGAAATTATTTCACTCATTCAGCAGCCAAAATCCAAAGAAAAATCAAATTATCAGTTGGAAACTATTTCACTCGTTCAGCAGCCAAAATCTATAAAAAAAAACTATCGAAGTACTACAATTTTGATTCGAACCCTGTGACTCTGAATCTCAAAGCATCGACAGATCAAGAAACAAAATAAAACAAATAGCAACCTCACTTAAATCAACTTATGTACCATATAAAGGGACAAAGAAACAAGCATAGGAAAAATCTCATACACAACGGAAAAGATTATAGTTGTAATCGAAAAAGTAGAAACAAAGTAGAGTCTTAGAGTATATCTATCCTCATATAGGAAGTCATTGAGCGCAGGAGAGTCTTAGCAGAAAATGGAATATGGTTTTACTTGGTCTGGTACTCTGGTTTGAATCCTTTGTGCAATTGTGCCGTGTCTTACATCTTAAATTAAAAATCACACGTGGCGGTCAAAATTTTATGCTCAAATTCTACTTCACCTTATTTTTTAGGGGTGGGCATAAAACCTGAACCGAACCGGTACCGAACCGAACCGGTACCGAACCATCTCGTAATGGTACCGAACCGAATACCGGGTATTTAAATGGTTCTATAGATTTTTATCCCGTACCGTTTGAAACGGGTACGGGACCAGTTCTAGAATTTGAGAACCGAAAAATATCGGACCGTTAAAAACCTCACGGATACATTGCGGGTTTTACCAATTTACCGGACCGTTCCGGATCGCACCCACCCCTATTATTTTTGTCCATATTATCACTATATGGTGACTCTACACATGAAATTTTGATCGTCATGAAGGATTTTTTTTGCTACAAATTTGAATAAAATCTCATATTCAAACATTTATGTATAGTTATGATACTGATTTGATTCATTTAAAAGTTAAGGTACCAAAACGCAACAATATCAATAGTTAAAGGTATTATTTATACATTTGACCCGAGTAATAGAGTAGGAGTAATGGATTGGGTCACACGAGTATAATATTTGGGTTTTGCATAATGCCTTCAGTATTTAAAAAGTATTACCAAAGTATAGGGTTGTTTTTTACTGTATTTTCTATATATCGAGGACTTTTTACCGATTACGTACCAATATCGTACCGATATATTTTGATTCAGTATCATACTGAAATGTGCATGTGTGCATATTTTGTTTCACTTTGGTGAAATTTTGGTGAAATTGGTTTTTGTTGAATTGTTGGTACAGTATATGCGGTATATAAACATTTCGGTATTTTCCCCCACCCCTAGATGCACATATGTGAATACGAAGCAAATAATTTGTACTAAATTCAGGATTAGAATTTATACAAGACTATTCGAATTCGAAAAATTCAAATACAAGTACAAATAAAAATACTAAATTTGATTCCAACTATTATCAAATATAAATAAGAATATCAGCATATTTGATTTGAATGTTAATCAAATATATTCGATTAATAATACGGAGTAGCTATTATAACATAACAATATTAATAATAGTGTTAATAATACTATAGTAACTTTTAAAAGTTACATACCTATATCTAGGAGTGGACCAGGTCCGATTTGGCTCGGGCTCCGGGCCCAGTTTGGGTCGGGCCCCGGGCCAGGATTGGGCGGTACTGGGGATTTGGGTTGAAGGCCCGCTACCGGCCCGGTTTGAACTGGGACCAGACCGTGTCGAGTCGGATTTTTTTTTAAAATAATCTTTTCTAATTTATTCCTACCCCCACCCCGAAACCTAGGGATGGATTTGGTTCGGGTCACCCGGCCCGTGACCCGGCCCGGCCCGGGACTGTGCGGGCCCGGGACCGGCCCGGTCGGACGGTCCGGGACCGGGTACGGACCCGAAGCGGTGGGAAGGGGCGGGGCGGGCTCGGTGCTGGATTATTGTGACCCGGCCCGGCCGGGTCGGGCCCGGGCCCGGGTCCGGTCTAATTTTAAAAAAAAAATGGTTTGGGCTACTAGGCTACTAGCCGTTGGGGGTGGGGCTGTGGACAACCCAAACGGCTATATAGCCGTTGGGTGGGGTAAAGGGGGGGTCCGGGGGGGTTGGCTGGTGGGGGTGGGGGGTGGAGGGTAAAAAACCTATAAATACTCCTAATCTTAAACATTTTTTCATCTCTTCTCCAATTCTTCCTATATCCTATTCTTAACTCTCTACTCTCTAATTCTCTTATTCTCCAATATATTATATTTATTATTTATATATCTACTTTATAGTTAATACTTAAGAAGTTAAGATGGAAAATCAAGATGCCATTATACGGTATAATTTTGATAAGTAGAAGGACCCGAAGACCGGGATGTGGTACGCAATTTGCAAATGGTGCGAGAAAAAATGTAGCATGGGGGTTTCTGGTGGATTCGGAATGGCAATCAAGCATATGAAGTCATGTGACAAAGCTAAAGGATCGGGAGGTGCGGGAAGTTCCGATTGATTACAATTTTCAAAATGTTTATCTGTTAAAGTTTGTTTTAATTTTCAAATGTAGTTCCTATTTCATTTCAAATAAATGCAATTGAAGTTTGTTTTTAATACTCGTATAAAACTATAAACTATAAAATATAAATTATAAAAAAAAATTAACCGGCCCGGCCCGAACCGGACCCGACCCATGACGCGGGCGGGTGGCCCGGCCCGGACCGGACCCGTCCAACCCTCGGGCCGGTCCCGGGCCCATGTCATACTACCCGGCAGCCCGACCGGGCCTAGGCCCGGCCCGAGTCCATCAATACCCAAACCCCGCCAAAACACCTAGCCCAACCCACCTAGCAGTGTTTCAATGCCAAAAACCCAAAAAGATTGGCACGGACTAGTCCCGGACCGGTCTGGCTGGTCCACTAAACCAAGGTCCCGAAGCCCGCCCCATTTTACCCCCGATTCAGGCCCCAAAGCCCGGTCCAGGTTGGCCAGGTCGGGCAGGTACCACACAGTAGCAGTCCGGGCTGGGTACCAGGTCAATCCGAACCGGCCCAGTCCATCCCTACCTATATTCTCAAAGTGTAGCATATATATGCATTTACGTATACGCATTCCAGTCAAGTCTATTTATAATAAATCGGAAGTACCATACGAAGTAAGGTTTGTAAATGAAGCAAGTAATTTCATTCAAATCATGATTTACATTCAAAACAATGATTTGAATTTCAAAATATAGAATTTGAACACGGATACAAATCAGGTTTTTCAATTCACATTATAGGTGTAATTTCAAATGTGTGTTAGGATTTATTTCAAAAATTTTGAAATATTTTATTGTATATTAATCACAAAAATTATTCACTGCAGTGTGCTGTGCACGATTTAAAAACGCATCGATTATTAAATTTTAAAGAAAAATGTAACGTTACAAATTAAAATTTGAAATCGTAAAAAAAGCTGATTCAAAGTGTATTTGACTAATATTTAACTTACGATAAAATTGATTAGATATTTGTTACGAATATATGATTCATCAACTATTCGTATTGTTAAACATAAACAAATACAAATCGAAATTACTGTATGTTTTGTATTCTCATTCGTATTTGAAAAAATTAAACTAATATGAATACAAATATACCCGCACGAGTAGCTGAGTTGGTCGAGTGGTGAGAAAATTGGACCAAGTGACCAAGGTTCAAAATCCGCAGCGGCCATGTGAAGGTTACAGAACCTGAATTAAGATTGAGCCTCTGGTGCGCACGTGTATAAGACCTACCGCCGCTTTGCTGACTGAGTCACCGTGATTAACTCCCCCACCATCCTGTCGAATCAAGGTGAAGGGTTGTTGGGGTGGAAGATTCCACCTTTTGGACCAAATATGAATACAAATATCATACTGTTCAACTCGATCAATTCATTTACAACCCTATTCAATTTCCAACGACATGGGGTGATGGGGCTAGTAAATATGTAACAAATTGGAAGAAATAAGACAAAAGCAAAGAGGAGCCAGAGATAAAAGGCTCTATCGAAGTTTGTGACAAGATTTTTTAAATATTATTGAAATAGAACTTATTTCTAAAAATATGATTATAATGTCATGCTCACTTAAATGTAGAATATTGAACACAAGTAATTATGACTAAAATCACCACTACAGTAACTCACTTAAGAAACATTTTTGTAAACTGCCTTTATTGTAATAATTCATAAAATAATGCACAATAATAACATAAACTCATAAAGTTTAATTTACTGTTGTGAATTGTGATTACCACGTCTAAATAAGTTATTTAGACATAAGACTCATTATGTCCCCACACACACACATCATGGTAATTAGTAACTATGTCCAATAAGACTTATTATATCTTCAGACAATTGCCTTGAAATTCTGTCAAACTTCCAATAAATGAACAATTGAAACATCTAAGGAATTGATATAGTTGTGGTTCAACACAATCACTTCTGTTTTCTTTGATTGGCTAACGAAGTGGGAATCACGTGACTTTATTTTCTTAAAATAAAATTCTTTGTAAAAGTAACGTGGGTCCCACTTGCTTAGCCAAACAAGGAGCAGTTTCCATCGTGAAATGCTGAAAGAACTTTTCTTAGCATTTCACATGGGGAAAAGAAATGAAACAGTGTCGATACATAGCCCTACCATTTCATTTATTCCCTGAGATTCATAATGAAATAGGAAGGCATGAAGAGAATCTTTTTCTGTCATACACCTCAGCTGTAATTATCATGGGATTCCAACTGCTCGTCTGCAGAGGCTGAGCTTCTCTTCTTTTTACCGACATCTGTTACAACATCTGGAATGCAGACAAAACGTCCTTCACTTCGAACTGGAAAAAACAAAAGGCCTAGAGCGAATGGAATATCTCACCTCCTTCAGGATGTATAGAGTTATAGTGAACTTCAGCCCAAAAGCTCAAGAAAATAACTGCACCATAACAGAGAAGGGAAACAAAATCAATATGGTAACAAAGAACCAAAGAAAGTATTACCAACTTGTTGTAACAAAGAAGAGTAAGACATCAATCAGATACACCCAGTATATGTTTTGGAAATAAAAGCAAATTAAAGACTCCCTAAAAACATGTTTCAAAAGCTTTCTTTGTTCCAAAAAGTGTTATTTGATGAAACCAAACTACTTTTTATGTAAATTGTCCTAAGACAAAAGTTACAATTTAGTTTGAAAATATGAAGTATGGTAAATTTAGTTAAGCCAACACAAACAAATTCAAAAATATGTGTAGGATTCCAGCGTTTGGAGAACTGTACCTATCCAAAACTAAAAGGTTGAATCTTGACTAAATGGAAATGGGATTTTGGAAATGGGATTTTGGAAATGGAAATGGGACGGAAGGAATACATTGGAAGTGGGATTGTGAAAATTTCTAGAGCATAGAGATATACCTCGTTCAGATTTTTGAGTGTTGGGCACTATTTCAATGTAGCAAGTGTCTTTGAAAGATGTTAACACGAATATTCTAACACCATACTGCAGTAACAATCACAGAGAATTAGATTACATCGACGAAAGTGTAATGAACTTAAAATGAGGCATTTCAATGTTCAAGCTGGATCCATTCAAACTAACAACCATTCAGCAGATTTAAGTCCCATACACTTCCAGAATAACAAAAGGTACATCAGCTTCAAATGCCATGAAAATGATAATATGATGCTCATTGATTAGCAGGGTTAGGTATCTCCTAAATTTGAAAGTGGGGTGAGCCAGGAAAATGGTCAATTTCATTTTCATGTAAAAGTTAAAGCAAAAAATTATCATATGAAAAATGAACCAACAGGTTCCCCTTTCTAGATAGCTAAGGTAGCTTTATCTTTGTTTATGGGTTCAATGATCATACTAGAGTGCAGAAAAACTTCAGCTAGTGGTTATTCAACAATTGCACATCACCCTTTGAACTTTATAGTTGCATGGAGAAAAGCATAAAAGGATAACAAAAAAAGGAACGGAAAGCAAACCAAATCTGCTGCAGCTTGCAACGTTACATGATCTCCCCACTCACCGCTCCTAATTCCATATATATATGTATAATGGTTAGATATGGAAACCTAATAGAAACCACACAAACTATATTAGGTATCATCAACCAAAGAAAGGCACAAGAGAAGAATACTTTGACATCTTATGAAGATAATCATCATATGCCATGGGCACATATCCTTCATATATCTCTCGAAACAATTTGAGCTGATCATCAAAAGTTAAAGTGTCAATCACACAACAGTATTCATTGTTGAGGAATAAGAAATGATAATTGTAACTGTTCACATACCTGATTCACAACTTGCAGTCTAACAAATTTGTGATGGTCAGTGGTCCGGTAAAATTGATCAGATAGAGCCCGGAACTGGAGAGGAATAATAATCAAAATCAGAGTTCTTCATTTTACTTTAGTAAACCTATTAAATGAAAACTAAATCTTAACTAAAAACAGGATGGCAGGGGCACTTTCATGTGATGTCGTATAATTAATCTAGCGCGTCTTGAATGTGATGTGCTCATAAAATTTTGATTTATGTTGACAGTCACCTACGACCTATTCCAGTTCAATCACATATTTCTGCATATTGCTCTTTCGATTAATGAAGGTTATCGCTCCAAGGAATTTTCATAGCTTATCCGGATCTTGGCAGTGGTAAAAAGAGTGAACTATAATAAGGTAATGATCACAGTTGAGTACATAAAAGGTCCTTTCAGGAGTGCTAAGTTATGCGCCTAAGGTTGGCAATGGGTACGGAGGGCCGCGGGGGAAGGATGGAGCGGGGTTTGGTTGGGTCAGGGCCCAATGGGTGACATATTCCCACCCCACCAGAATATGGGGCGGGTGATGGGGAGTGGTATACCGCCGCTGCTATACACACACACACTATACATATATACATACATATATGAATTATTAGGAATACTTATTAAATGTTTCATAGGATACTAAAACTTGGTGTAATTTGGTGGTTCACTTAATTTGTCTTACGCCACGTTTTCTTTCAATACTAACATGTTTGGTTGTTTCGAATATAAAATTCCTTTCAGCCTGAACTTAAGGTGTACTCCAGGTTGCATTGCCTTTCATTTCCTCACTTGAGTAGAGTAAATTGTTAAGTCTTGGACTCTTGGGGGATCTTAATTATTGGATTAAGAGACTGAGTGCAATCAAACTACTATTACAGCTGCATTATTTCTTTAAATTTACTGTGTTTTCTTGTTTATAAATGGCTGAGCCTACATGAATGTTCCATAATCATAAACATAGTAGGTTATTTACACACTTAATATATATGTAAAATCAAGGAATTTTATCAATTCAGGACTCGAAAGATAGATTAACTATCAATCCAGGACCCGAAAGATGAAACGTATCAGTATAAGACCCGAATGATGAAAAACTATCAATTTAGGACCCAACGTTTCATAGGTTTCGATTTATTTAATTTTTTATTAATTCCATTACTAATTTTTGATAAACTTTTCTTTACAAAAGTTTATTAGTTTAATAAAACGAAATACTCCCTCCGTCCCATATTTAACTCCGGTTTTGACCGGGCACGGGTTTTAAGATAGTGGGATTTGTGTGGTGGAGAGTTATGCAGAGGAGAGAGAAATGTGTAAGAATGGTTGTGAACCACATATTCTTTACCAAAAGGGGAAAAAGGAGATAAATTTGGGACGGGCCGAAAAGGAAAGAATGAAGATAATTCCGGGACGGAGGGAGTAATATTTTAAATTTTTTAATAAAAAAAATTATGACAACTTAGGTCCTAGATTAATAGTTTTCAATCATTCGGATCCTAAATTGACAGTTTTTCATCATTCGGGTCCTATATCGATGCATTTTATCTTTCAGGTCCCGAATTGATAATTAATCTATCTTTCGGGTCCTGAATTGATAAAATTCCTAAAATCGATCTCAATGTTCCATAATCATAAACATAGCAATATATTCACTCACTTGATAGATATGAAATCAATCTCACTGCTGCATACTATTAGACTATTAGTCTATTACTAGAGCACTCATGCACAATAACCTAATACTCTAACCAATCCCCTGCATATTTATTTCCACTCCAAGAATCTGAAAGGTGCTCTATAATTCAGATTAATGGTGAATTAGATGAAGATGTATCTCGTATAATCAGAGCAGGGTGGATGAAATGGAAGAGTGCATCAGGATTTATATGTGATCGAGGTATGCCGACTAGACTGAAGGATAAATTTTATCGGACGGCAATTAAGCCTGCAATAATGCATGTCGTAGAGTGTTGGGCAGTGAAACAATGTCACATTCAAAAGATTAGTATGTCAAAGATGCGTATGTTGCGTTGGATGTGTGGACATACCAGAAAAGACGACTCGAGAAATGAGATAATAAGACAAAAGGTGGAAATAGCACCCACAAAAGATAAGATGCAAGAGTCTCGGTTGTGGCTGTTTGGTCATGTGCGTAGAAGACCGAGTGATGCAACTGTTAGATGAGTTGAGAGGTGAGAAGAAGAGGGAGGTATGAAGGGGAGAGGAAGAACCAAACAAACTTGGATTAAAGGAATCAGAAATGATATACTTCTCTTGGATTGGATGAGAGTATGACTTTGAAGAGAGCAAAATGGAAGGCGCATATGCGTGTGGACGATTGATCTCTTTTCTCCCTTTTCTCTCTCTTTTTCTTTCATCTTTTATCTTCTTTATCATTCTATGTTCTTATGTTGTTTTTATCTCTTATCTTTCTAACATTTTTTTCTCTTTTATCTTTAATCTATCTTATGTTCTTATGTTATTTTTATCTAATCCATTTTATACTACCTTATCTTTTTATTCTTCTTATTTTTCTTCTCTTTTTGGCTCTTATTATATCATGGATCGATTCATGTGAGCGGACCTCAAAATCTTTTGAGAATAAGGCTTGAATGTTGTTGTTGCTGCATGAATCTGAAATGTCAATCCTCATATTTCGACTAATTCTTCTGATCGCAGTGTGCCACTACACCATGTGGATATGAAAAGTGGTATTATTTACAAGGCTTAAATATGTTTTTAGTCCATGCAAATATGACACGTTTTTCAGATCCCTGCAAGATATTTTTTGTTTCACCCCTGTAATATGCACTCATTTATTTGTAGTCCCTTTGTAACTCCGAGAACATGTCCATTTAGAAACAAACTAATGTCGTGTGCATAACTCTACTAGAAATCTTAAACTCATCATTTTAATATGCACTCATTTATTTGTATGTGCACTTTGTCTATGTTTTAGTTCTATTTGGAGCAATTTCTTTAGATATTGTGCAATTTTGCTTTTACATGTGGCACCATGATCTCTCATTCTCTTGGCGATTGTCAGGAGAGTAAAAAGCATTATATTGTTGCTAGATCACGTGGCACCATGATCTCTGTTGATTTGATAACTTGCACTACAACTCAGATAACGCTCATATTTTGAAATCAACCAACATTCTACAAAACTTCCAATTTAGTGTTCCGCAAGGGGACCAAACACTTATTTTTTTTACTCCAGGGGGCATCTGGGGGAGGGGGACTGGGGCCTGGAGTAATAAGGGCTGAAAGTCACTCCATTGAGTTTCAAACCCTTATGTGCCTAGCGGGTTTCGAACTCGAGACCTCTCACTAGGCACGGTAACCTCACAGCCACGGGGACCAAACACATATTTACATATCAACTTTCTCATTTTATTAAAAACTAACATGCATGGTATTTTTGCTGATACCTCTGCTTATCAGTTAGTTGATAAGTGCATCAAGTCTATTAGAAGTCTGACACTCTTAACATATATTCCAAGTGTAACAACTTGCTCCATATAAATATATGATCAATATGTCTCAGTTTGAGGAAGCGTCGAATATATTGCAAGATACCCAAGTGCTGCCCTAGCTAGAATGGGCGCAGACCAGTTCATGTCACTCACTATTGTGAATATGCCCCTAGGCCCTATACACTCATGTTCACTTGGAAATTTTAACGCTCACGTGAAAATAAAACTTCAGTCATGAAAACTTTGGGTCTTGATGGGAAAGTTTTGTACAAGTTACAAGCCACTTTAAAGAAGGAGATAGAATATGTTTCCCCATATAAAGTAATTTTTTAACATCCAAACAAGCTACACAAAGATGGACCCAAGAGATTTTACCTGACAATTACCATCCCCTTGAACCTTAGACTCTACAAGCTCATACATCTGCAATCTGTAGGAAAACTCCAAAGTCAGTGTTTCATACCGAAGAGTGAACACAATAAAACCTTCAAGTTAATGAAATTGCCACATGCAAAAGTGGGGAGGTTGACCTTTTATTTTAGCTATCCCCTTCATTGCAAGAAAAAAAAAATCAAACTATTCCTACCAAAAACCTACTTTTTATCCACAAGTATAAGAGGGCAGTATAATCATATAATGACAAGACTGTAAATATGTAATATTTGCTCTTAGTTATCACATACTCACTCTTCAAAATCTATGTGCACATGGAAAAAATTCCAGAAAGAAGATTGAGAATACCTGTCAAGAAGCCTTTGATGATCTAGAGTTGCCTCATCAACTGATGGTATTTCCCCATTAATCCTAGGAATATGCTGCGAACAAGAAGAACTAAAATTTGCTCAGTAGTCAGTACAAAGCAAAAAATCTGAATGCAGAACTGCAGTACCAAAAAAATGATCCTAATGTGTTTGCTAATTAATTACCGCATCAAACATAATAACATGTATTATGGTTGTACCACATAATGATCACAAATTATTGCATTCCTAGTCATGCTTACAAGTAAGTCAGTGCTAGAAAAGGAGCTACACTTACTGGGATAGGAACCATCTGGTTCAATCTTTTACCTACTTCACCATCGAGATCATATTCGTCCAGCAATTCAAGAGAATATGACCACTCCTCCTCAGTGTATGAACCTTCTCGAGGACTTGAACATGAACTAGATGGCCCAACATTAACAGTTTCTGCTTCTTCGTGCTCATTTCCTACTATTAAAATTGAGCAATGAGACTACAGAAAGAACCAAAATGACTCAAGTAATTGTTTTTTTATGAAATTTCAGTAGCCTCCATACCAAATGCATAGTTGTCCATTGGTTGACTAAACCATTCCTGAGAATAATAAGGCGTTTGTGTATGATCGATGACTGGATGGATGTCTGAATGCGGTTCAGCAACTGAGAGCTGCGATAGTTCTTCCCCAAGAGAACAAGCATTATACTCACTTTCCACGGGGATAGAAGCTAAACTATAAATGCCTTCTTTAAAATACTGATCTTGCTGATAATACTCTGGACCATTTGGGCTGATTGATGCACCATAACTGTAGTTAGAATATGGATCGCCGTCGAATAACTGGAGACCCCACCTGACCACATCGGGATCTTGCTCGTACGTAATCATTTAGAAACGTATCTTCTCCACTGCAATGAAGCACTCCGGGGAGTAATCGCGTGAAGAAGAGTGTAGGACACTCCGCGTGAGGTACGGCTGACCAGATACAGAAAGGTTGGAACTTGGAAGCTTGTAGTAGAGCTTCTTCAGGCAGGGTCAAGATGCAAGAAAGGCGGAGTAAGGGCGTACATGTTGTGGTTCGGAAGAAACTGGCAGAGGTGAATCCGATTGATGGAGGAGACGAGAGGAAAGCTCCACATTCGACAGATGCGATGCGGTGATAAGATACTCAGATACAGATCTGTTTGACACTTGGGGCTGAGCTTGTTTTCTGGTCTTGTTCGATTGGTTCCTTCAAAATTCTTCTGCGATTTCCGGCGGTGCCATATTTAGGGAGAGCATCATGGTTGGCAGAAGAAATACGGGGGCGTTTGGGCGTGGGTTTTGGAGGGGAATGAAGGCGAGTACGGACGCAATTTATACGGCGCTATTTTGGGCTGCTCGCCTATGTAGCAAAATGTTAGCTTTATCAACTTGGATAACGCGTTTGGTTCACTTGTAGTCAGTCTAGTACGGAGTAAAAAATTAGGATAATTTAATTTCATCATAGTTTTTTTTGTTTTGGCTATGTAAGTTTTACAGCATGATCCAAAAAAAGTTTTACTATTAACTGGTTTGGTGATTCTGTTTTTCGCCTTATACTTATGAATAAACTTATTAATCAAACACGTAACTTTTGATTTCATGCATTGAATTATATAATAATAAGAAAAGGTAATATTGAAGTTACTTTTCTGATTGTATTGGTTGATGTTACGCTAAATAATCATTTAGCGCGCTTAATTTTGAGTTTTCAATTTTCTATTTGCTTCGAACCTTTTCATAGATCAAGTAATATAAAACCTCAAAACCATTTCCTCTTTTTATATCAAAATTTCATTGCATGGCATTATGAAAATATATGTTTGTTAAAATATTAGGAAATGTATTATTCTCTAAATAATGTCTTTTATTCGGTGTAGACATGTGGATATGAACTCAAAATATTTTCCTCATTTATTAAAATGAATTATAATTTGTTTATAAGGAAAAGTAAATAGGCAATGTATTATTCTCTAATATTCTTTTGAGAATTTTTTTGAGAATTGTTTTGAGTACTTGATGAGAATTCATTATAAATGAGTTTTTTTGAAAGGGTATAAATGAGTATTTAATGTTTAAATTTTTACCGTCTTTTAAAATATTGCAAGCTTCCTTTTATTGGCCAAAATCGATCAATAACTAATGTTCTTAAGTCTAAACCCATATGTAAACAAAAACATCTATTTCTCACAAACACGATAATTGAAGGATCCTTTTAATAAGTATTGTGTTCATCTATCAACCACGTGCAAAGAACTCCATTATTGAAATCCCTCTTAGCAATGTAAAATATTACTCCTTCCGTCCCAAAATTAACTTCTCATTCACTATTCACAATTTCATATGGTCAACTTAAATTACTCTTAATTGTTTTTTTTATATATCAAATTTTTATCAAATTTACATTTTTTATCAGGCTTTGTAGCGGTTTTAATGTATTTTCTGAAAATGTAAATTTTATTTATTAAAACTGTTCTGAGTGCGAATAGGGATCAAGTTGATTTATCATCAGTCAAACATCGTAATCCGGAATGGGAAGTTAATTTTGGGACGAAGGTAGTATATAGTATTAAGGTGTAGAGTAGTTTTTAAGGTATTGATCACACATTTCTCCACATGAACCATTAATACTTATTCTAAAAAACCATGATAAGAAGTTCATAATAATTAACCAAACTATAATTATTATGAACTTCTTATCATGATTTTTTAGAATAAGTATTAATGGTTCAAAATTACCACCGAATAAGGGAGCATTTGGTATCATCTTTTGTGAAGTGCGAAAAAAGTTGTATCATCTTTTGTACGGTATCAAATAATATAAACAAAAATAACAACTTATATTATTCTTCATGAAAAACTTACCAGGAAAATTAATAGTTCTCAACAACTATTCATATAACAATATCACAAAACCAAGTTAAGCTACTATAGTGTAAGTACAATAAAAAATAAATACTTACATCCAATCGAATTAACTCTCAAACATAAAACTTTCTTCTCAATGACAATTTGAATGTTTGACATGTGTTTATGGCGACAGAAATCGCATCTACTTGTAACACAAATTTTAGCATGGGGAACTCACAAGTCAACTATATATTGTGTATGGAACCAATATTTTTTCGTTTGCAATCGAGCCAACACATTCTAAGATGTATCTAAAATCATTTGTGCATTGGGCCACAAAGTTTTTTTAAAGGAAAAACTACTTATATTAATATCATTAGGATTGGGATCATTACAACAAACTCAAAAAAACCTAACAATGATAACAACTATTTGCAACCAATTAGCACTATCAACTGTACGGCTAGACCCTGAGATGATCACCACTGAAAGAGCAATATGAATCGCTAACCACTTAACGAGTGTGACACATCAATCACTGGTCATTTAGATCCTTCTAACGACATAATATCTGGCAGAATTACCAATCATTATTGTAGATCTAAAACTAAAGACATCAACAAAAAATAGAGCAACGTAAAACATAACGCGAAAACAAAACCATAAAAAACATGGATAAATCTTCCGAGCCCTAACTCCTCGATTGCTCCAAGGCAGTGGTTCAGGAGGGGGCGGACCGCCGATCTGTCTTCTCCCTTTCTCATCCATTCACCCCTCCCTGTCTGCTCATCGCCCCGCCCGTGTCGCCTCCACTGCTGCCACCGCCCTCACCCATGTTGATCCGTCAAGAACTAACCCTTCGACCTCCTCAGTTGTTGGAATGAGACAAAGCTGCTCTAGATCATTCATAGAAGCCATGGTTATCCTTTCTTGACCCTACACTCGATCAAAATGTCAAAGAAAAACTTATTCACAGAAATGCAGCATTGCACCGCACTCAACACACAAGAGAAAAACCTAGCTCTCGACAAGCGAGAGAAAAACCTAGCTCTCTACAAGCGAGAGAGACCTACGTGAGTCTCTGTCAAAGAATGAACGACTGTGGGGCAATTTCCACTACTTAAGGATGAGGTTTTGGGAAACCTTATGCATCGAGAGCTTCTCTCTTCCATCGTATGTGTGACGAATTGCTCCGAGAACTCAACCACACTTCTTTTTAATCGCTTTGAATTACGATATATGGAGATTTGGAAAATGCAGTGACCCTTCAGTTTTTAAGACATTTTTTTCTTTTTAATTAGCCTAACAAATATTTCGTACATACTTAACACACTATCACATTCTCTTTCCAAAATTCCGCTCATCCGTCTTCGCCACTAGAGAGAGAGTAATCTTCTGGTCAGGTCTTCCCACCGGAACCGCCATCCAAACAGCAGCTTTTGGGGACCTTTCCGGTATAATTTTCTGATGAAATGTTTTGGGCATGTTCTCCATCAAGAATAGTTTATCCACAAAAAATTTCAGCTAGAAATACAATCGTGAAGGCAGTCAAATAATTTTTGGAAGATAATCGCACCAAAATATACATATAAAAACGCAGTTATCTTCCAAAAATTATTTGACTGCCTCCCGGACTGAATTTTTAGTTGATTATTTGTGTAGATAAGCTAGACTTGATGGAAAGAATGCCTAAAAAATTTCATCAAAAAATTACACCGGGAAAGACCCCAAACACCGTCGTCCAGAGGATAGTTCGTGTCCGAAATTCCAGACATGAACCTCTCTCTATATGTATGCATGTATGTGTGTGTATGTATGCATGTATGCATGCATGTATGTATGTATGTATGTATGTATGTATGTATGTATGTATGTATGTATGTATGTATGTATGTATGTATGTATGTATGTATGTATGTGTGTGTGTGTATGTGTGTATGTATGTATGTATGTATGTATGTATGTGTCACGCCCCGGACCTAGCCGGACACGTCAATAACCCGCCGTACAGTACGAATAGTCAACCGCAGTCCGACTCATCCATACTATACAAGGCGTCATGAATATCATTCACACATAGTACATCCATAAACAAACATAATGTAAAACATGCATTTAAAGTAGCGGAAGCGTTATTACAATTGTTCAAGCCACACTTGGCATAACTAGGCATACAAGCCCCCAAAGTAATCATTAATAAAATAGTATCCATGAGCATTAACTTAATTGTTTTTAAAACAGAACGGAAGAAGCACGAACCACGTCTTCCTCCCTTGAGCCTCCCGAAGCAACGGGCGATGGTAGCAACTTCAAGTTCTACATGAAACTGTGAGGTGGCCTCCCCCGTGAAGGGGAGGTCAGTACTTGGAAATATTTGACAAGTACAATAGCAGCTATACTAAGTATAATCAACGTTTTAATTTCCAAGACCCTCAAAATAGGGTGATATCATAATATAAATAATGATTTATATTTTCCCACTTATTATCTTTATAATAAGTAAATTTATTTATTTGTCGGCACACGGCCCTTCTTATATATCCTTTTTCATTTATCAGTTGCACAACCCAACCCTTGGGTCCTATTATTTCTACGGGACTTGCTACCGTTGTCCGAGACCTCATGAGGCTCCCGGTCCGGACTCCAATATCCCGCCCCTGGACTCGTACCCATCATCCCGTAGGAAGGTAAGGCCCTTCGGGGTCCTATCTTATGTGTTACCGCTACCGGAACCTAGTTAGGTCTCCGATTCGGATTCCACCCTAACCCGTGATCACGATGTAAGTCCATGCTATCCAACCCCGCTCTCTAGAGTCGGGAAGGGCCATGGTCCTTACTATTTCCATAATTCAACCGGCTATCCACAAGAATTACCGATCACACCCGTAGGCCAATCCTATACTTAGGATCAATTTAATATTCACACTATCTTGGGTATCCCTTAAGGCCTACCCCTAGTATAACTTAAAGTTCATACTTTCCTACCTTAAAGCATCTCTTAAGACTATTTAAGGCATAGCATTTCACAATCCAACCTTAGGATCAATCTTAACAACATTTCATTTTAAGGTCCAACTAGTATCTTAATACTAGTCAAATTAATATCAACAAACCAATTCTCAACTCATAGTCATATAGATAATTCCAACTGATTTTCCTTTGAAAATATCATTTATCTCAATATCCAAAATATCACTTTTAATCACTCATATATTCTAATATGAAGAAAAAGTATATTTCAACATATGTTTCATAATAAATTCCACTTTCAAGCCGACATACTCATAACACATGAACATACACAATTTACTCTTAAATTTGTATATCATGCTCCCTTTTGCTTTAGACATTTAGTCTTGTCATTTTTAGGCATTATTAATCATTAATAATCCATAAAAATACTTTTAATTACCTTCGGTAATCTCATGAAATTAACTCATTAATTATAAACAATATAGTCAGCCATCCTCACCTTATGAAGTGCTGAAATAGTTGCC